TCATCATTAGATTAGATTATCACTGTATATTCTACACCCCGGCGGATGATTTTTATCCGCTATGATTTTTGTAATTAAAAGCATTATTTAGTATAGAATCGAAATAGGTATTTAAAATACCTATTAATTAGTTAAAATTGGAATAAAAAATATTTTCAATTTTTAATAATAATTTTATTTTCACCATTTAAAATTACATATTCATACTGACGATTAATATATCATGGTTTATTATAAAAAAATTTAAACTCAATTAATGATAATGCATTATCGCCACACGAAGATAATTCGATATTATAATTATATACTTGAATGGATGTTCGATCTATTCATCGGAAGGACTGGAGAACGGAGTAATTGAAATTTAAACGACAAGGATCAATGTGATTAATTAATGGATGTTAATATATAGCGGTAGGAACTGGAACACGATAGATAATGTCAACCAACACAATTAAAAGACCAGACTATTCATCCAAACGGTTTAACTGTAAAGATACTCTTAAGATTTTGTAAAATATTTAATGGATAGTAAAGTGACAAAAAATGTACTACAAATAGAGGAAAAATTAAAGATACTACCATTTAAATAACATTGAGCTCTAGCTTTCGCATGATGATAAAAAAAGTATACCACAAAAACTTCTCATTATGTCAAAGCATTGGAAACTCGATGATAGGATTTTCTACATTTAAATCTTAAAAAATATGAGAATTGAGCTGCTTAATATATTACAGAAGCATGATACACCTTTATCTCCTAATCTATTCAATTTACAATAGAAAAATAAATCTAATGGTTGCATTATATTTACTATATAATACATATATTAATGTATATTATAATACAGATTTGATTCGATCGATTTTAATCTTCATCCTGTACTCCTAAAATCTCGTGTTAATCTTAAAAATGATTCAACTACCACAAGGATAATCTTCATCAAAGATAATCCAAATACGATATTAACAATCGGCGTAGGCGTCAGGCTAACGGTACATACGTACGTGTTTTGATTGCCGGTGATTCGACCTTGCAATGGGAGACAAGCAACGTCGTATCTTGTGGCATTCGACTTTCTCTCTCTCTCTCTCTCTCTCACACACACGCACACACACACACTCTCTGTTTTTTCTCTTGCTCTCTCTTGTTGTCTCTTTTTCACAGGAGCGATTTTACGACCGTAAATAATTTCGTCCGAATGATATATCTGCGTACAAAGTCTGCATTTTGCTCAAAGCCAAGGTTTTCTATTTTTCCTTTTTTTTTTACTGAACGAATTTGTGTACAAATGCCTGCGGTGGCTTTTTAATATATCGCATCGGGATTATATATACTAGCAGATAAAATAGGTATTTTTCCAAGGCGAATATTAATTTGCGAATGTGGCATTGGCCTAATCGTAGCTGCAGTGTGTGAATATCTATGATCTTTTATTTTCTACTTTTTATATACTATACTCATGTATAATGTGCTCGGTTTAAAGATAAAAATTAATATTGTTCCATTAAATATGATGCTACAGGGCTACTACAATTTAAAGACTGTGTAATTTCCAATGAGGATCAAATACTAAATTTTTATTTTAAATTCAGAATTTTATTGTCTCTCGAGACATATAATTTAACTATAAATCATCAGCTATACTGTATCATAAATATGTATAAACTTTTTCTTGTAAATAAGCAATTGCTGTTTTATTTTATGACTTTTACTTAATAAAATATTTGCATTTATAAAATACAATCTACTTATGGTTCAACTTCAATAATTCATACTCATGCTTAGCTTCATACTCTCTAGTTGTGCGATCTTTAGAAATTTTCAGTTTAAATACCAATCTTCTCAAATTTATTCTTCACTCGAACTACATAATGTTATTTTTTATTTGATTAATATTGCACAATTATAGCAGTCAATTACAATGGCATTTTCTGGCATCGGACTCTTGTATTAAAAGCATTCACAAGAGATAGAGACTTAAATAGTGCATAGATCAGATTATGCTTTATTGCTTATTAATTACAGGCATTCAAGGCAGTATATTGAATAATATATATCCATTTTATTCACATACGAAACAAGCTATAAAACACGAGAAATTTTTCAGAAAAATAGCGAGCAAAGTTGTATGCTAACATTTTGAAATTTTTACCTATGTATGAGTACTTTTTTAAAGGGATTATAAAAATCCTTGAGTAGTTTAAAGTTTCAAAGTGTTTCCCTTTTTTTCCTCATAAAGCTGAACGAATGAAATCACCAACAAATTTAGACCCGATAACAATGCATGTGCCTTACTCAAGGGCATTCAAAATAATAGTGGACAAGTCGGATGTATTTTGCTAATTTCTGAATACGATTTCTTCTCTGAGTAAGAAATAAGAGGAGTGCAAAAGAAAGAGCAAAAGAGAATACGATTGCTTTACAACGTCACGATTGCGTGATTTGACAGTGTGTGTATAGTAAACGGAAGGCCGGGGAAGGGGAATCGTGCCCAAACCAAAGAGAGGTCAGAGTAAAGTAAACATTTTTCAGAATATATTAGTCTCATCTCCTGTTCTCCACTTTATTACTCTCGGTAATAGAACAAATACAGCACATCTTTGGCAAAGTAAGACTTCTCGTTCATATTTCCGTGATTTCATAACGCCCCACATGCAGGAAAGGGAAGCGCGGGCGCATGCGCTCTCCAACTCAGGTCGCGAACACGATATCTCGCTCGAATCTTACGCTCCTGCTTCTGGTGCACCGTTAAACACGCCATTTTCTAAGTACGAAGACCAGCAGAGGATTTGCACATACACTTTAGTGACTACGTACGTATCATCAGGTCTCTTTTCTTAATTACTATTTATCCTTACCTTTCGATACTTCAATCTGATCAAAAAAGTATAATGGAAGTGAGCATTTTATGTCCTTCTTTAATCGAATTTTCATTGATTATTTAAAATGCAGTTATTCACAGAGTAATTGGTATGCTGTCGTTGCTTTACCTACCCTCATAAAACCAGCCGTATCCTTAAAGTTTATGCGAACGCCTATCATCATGTGCATGATTGGTATATGCTTTAATAAAGCTGTCCCAAGAATTGATAATTTTTCATGAAAAACAGCAGAATTAAAAAGAAAAGCTACCTTATTTATGACACCAGTACACACGTCGAAGCATTATAATTATGAAAAGGCTGAAAGAATTTTTGGAATTGGTCTAGAAAAACACGACTTTTTTGTTAAGCTCCTTAGATTTCTAAAATAACGCAAATTGCATCTGAAAAATCTTTGCTATCACGTAAATGTAAGAAGATTTTATGTGTTACAAAGATTTATGCTTAACATATTGTCTGATTTGAAAATATGCAGAATTAATGTATTTTCAAAAAAATACTCAAAACAAATATATATGTCTAAATTTTATTAGTTGTTATTAAATTTTATGAGAATATCAATACAAGCCAATTGTATAAAACGAAGTATAGACATAAATAATAATTTACTAGAGTTAATTTTAAGGTAAATGTTCGTGAAATTAAAATAATTAGAATATAAACTATAATATATATATATATAAAATATAAAATATTATTTTAGTTTGTCGATATTATAGATAGTCTACTTTATCATGAACTTTTCTGATAGTCATGAAACGATAAATTCAGAAACACTCACATAAATATCAATGTGTAATAACGCGTTAGAATGAAATTTCTACAAATTATCCAGCGCAAATACTTTTTTTTATCTGGATACTTTAATATCTGTAATTTTCTGAAACAATAACATATTTGTATTGTTTTGAAGAACACGAGTTTATTCACTTGTATTAAATTATAAATAATTCTTATCAACGAACGCCATAGGAACTTACATAAATTTTATTAAACTATAGCAGTCAATTATCTCCGTGCATGATAATTTTAAATGCTATAGAATAATCATAGTTTAGTGCAAATTTTAAGAATCAGTAAATACCGTCGCTACATATATGATTTAAATACGTGAATTATCTCGATTCATTAGCTCGTTTAAGATAATTCAGGTACAAGCAAGTTAGAATTAGGCATTTCAAAGGAGAATGCGTACAAAAATTAAATTCGAACCATATGAAATTATAATGTTTCTAATCGGCAAAATTGTGCAGAATCCATCAAGATCATAAAAAACAACTAAACTCACAACCATATTTTACATTGTTGGAATTGTACTATACTAATGCTTTTCTAGTAATTGCATATCTATGCACGTTAATATTCGGAAATCTAATTGAATATATCCGTTCCTCACACAAAAGTTATCTCACACCTGAGATATTCGACAAGAATAAAGTATTATATAACTCTAATAAGACACCCACTTTTCCTAGAATGCTTTTCCCGTAAGAGGTCTAGATAATTTTACACATTCGCTGGCACGTAATCCCTATATTTCATTCGTACTGCGAACTTTCACCGCCCAGAAAGAAAATTCAAGCTTTAAAATTACAATTTTTAGACCTGCAGAAGTAAAGTACCATTATTCACAGCGTGGACCCTGTCTATTTAGAAAAAATAGTTTCACTTTTAACCGAGAGGAGCATTTTAATCCGAATTATAAGTGAAGGTTTTTCGTCAGATAAAAACAGGCTCGCTGATTTCCCTTTTATTTTCACGGAACGAGCCAGTAAGAGGCGGCGCATTAACCGCATTATTACCTGTTATCCCCTTTAATGCCGCTTGCACATATCTGCTGGTGACTCACTCGAGATTCTAAAAAGAGTAGAAGAAAATGGAGAGGCATGAAAAGAGCAAATCTTTTAAACTTTCATCGAACAATAAGAAAGATGAACCTCCGTACTTCAGTATGTAGCTGCCATTAAGACCTCTTTTTTATTTCCAAGAAAGACGAATCTCTGGACAGGAGCCCTTCCCTCATTTCCCTTCTCCTTCCCTCATCTTCTTTGGGAGCATTGCTAAAAAGCCAGAGAAATAAAACAGCAATTGACCATCTCGATTTTCTGTCGCAGGGCTGGCTCCTCGAGCGCCTCGAGTACGTGCACGTCAAGCTTATCGGGGCCCGGCATGCCATCGAGTGGCAGCGGCGGCGGCGGCGGCGGAGGCGGCGGCGGCGGCGGAGGAAGCGGAGGCAGCGGTGGTCGCATGGCCGTCATCGGTGTCACCAGGAACGTCAAGCTCAGGCGTCGAGGCGCTTCGGGTTTCGGGTTTTCATTGAGAGGAGGACGTGAGTATGCTGCTGGATTCTATGTGAGTGACGTCGTACCCGGAGGTGAGGCGCACAGGAACGGCCTTAGGGTAAGTATCATATTTTACGAACCGATGAGACGGTGCAGCAGCGATTATTAAGTAACGACGAAAAGTCAAGACAGCCTATACTAAAGTATAGGAATATAGTATATTATATAGGAATAGAATACAGAATATAATAATATATAGCCTATACTAAATTAAACCAGAGATGCATGCGTCTTTGTTTTTCTCGATTCTCACATTAATAATTCATGCGAATTTACAAAGATGCTACCCGACCCTGAATAATTAATAATAGTTAATAATATGAAGCGCCGCATAGCGTGTTATTTACTTTTTGGTACAGTTCAAAATTAATTTTAGCCAAAATTCTATTTAATTATGGCAAACGTACGTCAGTCATTGTAAAACATCGAATGAGTATCTCTTTACAAATTTATAATTATATGTTTAATTAAAATTGAAACTGCATGTACTCGGAAATGTTAAAATTCAAAGTTACCAAATTTAAATGAAGATAACACGTTTATTCTGTATGTGTTTTCAGTTGAATTAAACGTATTAGTATAATAACACTATTTGTCTAAAAGTATGCAGGCATTTGTTAATTCCCGATAAACAATTGGTGGAAAGAAATATTCGCTTAAATTTTTTTAAAAAATTTATACTCACTTATGTTGAACATAAACATTGAACGTAAAAATAATTTTACAAAAATAAAAGTTAACTTAAAAATTGAACATATATCTATTAAAAATTCACAATTGCTTTACTATTAGTAATATTCGATTATCTTAAATACTCTACTATTATTATTAATTTAGTAAGAAATTTTATTATCATACATTTGTCATGAAAAATTAAAAAGAAAACTGTTGAAATTGGAAAATTAAAATTTTATAAGAACTTATAATAAAACGCATTCGTAATAAGAAATGTTTTTCATATAATTACTAATCTTCGAAAATAAACGTGAGCAATAAGTAACGGGAAAACAATAAATGAACAAACTTTTAAACCTACCTGTGATTGAAAATACATTGCATTTGAATATGTCTAAAATTGTAAAATACCAATAAAATGAATCTATTTTATTCTCAAAGAAATATAATATATTATATTTATATAGATAATTTTGCGATTGTGAAATATTTCTATTAGTTATTAATATTAACTACTTTATAATATCTGCATTTCAGCGATTTCACTAATTCACCTAAACGTTTTTTTCGATTATTTAACTTTTGTCATTCTTCGTTTAGGGATTAAGTACCATATTTAGTAAATATAATGCTAAGTTTTTTAATATATATACATGCATTCATATAAATTTATTAAATTGTAATTATTTCAATTATTATCATATAAAAGTATTTGTATATAAAATTTGTACGTAGACATTATGCTTCAATTCAATAAAATATAAAATTACATATTATTCACTATTAGGCTAATTTAAATAAGTTGAAAATGAATATATATTTCATGGATAAAAAGTAATCGGATTTATATTTTAAAAAGTACTATAGTCAAAGTATAATAAATATAATAATTTTTTTTTAAATATATGTAACTTAAATATTTAATTTGTCATATAAGTAGCCAATGAAATCTTGCAATTACTATTAACGTTACTAAATTATCTGAGCACGTTACTTGCAATTATGATAATAGTCATATAATAATGCAATTATGATAAGTCATTCAATAATAATGAAAGGAAAACATTATTTCTTATCTATAATATAATAAATAGATCGGAGATCAAATACTTCGCGTGAACGGATATCCAGTTGAAGATGCTGTTCATCAAGAAGTTGCACTTTTAGCGAAAAACCAACAAGTTCTTGTTCTTAAAATAAGAAGTATGTATAATTTGTAAAAACTTCAGTATTTGAATAATGTAAATATAGTAAAAAAATATTTACTTTTTAGGTGTTGGCATGATACCAGTTAAAGAGTGAGTTTCTAGAATTAAGCATTTTTTTAAAAGCATATTCTGGACATTTTTAATTGTTTTATTAATAATAATTTAAAGTAATTCAATGATAACCAAATTTATACTTAAAGATTTATACTTTTTTTATTCCCAGAGCATTGTTTGTTTCTCTTAAATTTCTCCAAGTATTCTAATATCAAGCAAGCCGAGGATTGTCCTGTTGTTTTCCAAACAGATTACATTTTTACCGCTAAACTATAAGAAACAACGTAGCAATCAGACTCTCCTTAAGCTGTATGTAAATTTCTTTAGTAACCCAAATGATCCAGTCACGTGGCACATGGTGCAGCAGCAACAGCAGCAACTGCAATACGGTGATGCTGTCAGCAATGAAATCCGAATCCGAATACTTGTGGGAGAAAAAGGCAGACTTGGCTGTGGCGTCTGCAGGGGAATAGTACCCGGTCTCACTGTTCAAGTAATTAGTTATATTTATTTTAAATTTAAGGATCTTTTAACGCGAATAGAATGTTATAACGGAAGGATCGTTATTAAGAATGTAATTGTAATACAAAAGTCAAACAATGATTTCACATGATCTATTTAAAGATGAATAATTAAACTATTAACATATTGAATAATTTATTCATAATCCATATAAATTATAGTTGTGGAGGATCTGAATAGATATTCTAGTTGCCTGTTTATAACTTATGATATTTTCATAAATAATTATAAAATATTACTAAAAAATAAATGATCTTATTAACAGTATTATAATGTCGAAGTAAGAAATCCAATATATTTCTAGCCACTATTAAATACTTTTGTCATTCAACTACTTAGCAGAGAATTAAATTTGATTTAATCATTTTAATTGAATATTCAATGTATGTTGGTTACAAGATTTTGTGTGTATAAGGACTTATTAAAAAATAGATCAATAATACATTGTTCTATCATTTTTTACCATTACAATGATAATTTTATAAATACAATATGTAGTAAAACATTTACTTTATTGGACTTATTCAACACTTATTTTATACTTGCAAATAATATATACAGTGTACAATTTAAATTATATCCAACATTAACGTTCGTTTCTTGCGATAACTTGCGTAGCGCATGATAGCAATACATATTCATAGAACTTGTTTTAAAATTTAAATTTATTATGTGATCTGTAAAATCAGAAATTAGAGCTTTAGCTTCCTAAGACACGATCTAAATTTCGCCTATTATAGTAACAAAAAATAGCCATAATTCTTTACATTACGATTTTAGAATATTGCAAATAGAAGGTATATGCCAGTGTGGTAAGAATTGGTATGCACATGCTCAAGATTTCCCTAACTTACATTTCTTTACGGTCTACATAATATATCCATTAAAGAAAATTTATGTTAAGCTTCGTTTTCATAAAAACATAATCTTCGACTATTACATGTTTATACATCTTGTAATAACGCTTCTGAAATAATGAACTCATGGAATCTAATATCTCATTGCGGATGTGGCACACGTTATATTTATCCCGTAAGAAAACCTCTTTTAGTTCCCTCACTGCGAATATTTTTAACTAGACAAGTCCCGTTAAGGGCGTATACAAGTCCTGTTATTATAACAACGCCGCCTTATCGATATAATTGTCTTTGCCCACAAAAAAATCGTCAAGCTACGAAGCATAACCAAGCTCTCGATCGGCGCTTACTCGGAGTATCCAGCGAAACGTTCGTTATTCGAAAATCTTGCGTTAAAACATTCGCTCGTTTTTAAAACTTTGAATGCTTATGTGAATGCAGGGAACGAGGGAAGGGGGTCCAGCGCGAGCGGCGGGTCTCAAGGCCGGCGACATAATCCTGTGGTGCAATGGTCAAAGCCTGACGGACCTGCCTTTCGAGAGAGCAATCGAGGTGATGCGAAACGCAGCGGTCCTCGACCTCGTGGTGAACCGGCCGATCGTCAACCACGTGTATGACTGCCCGGAGGCTCTCTGGATGCGCGGCTCCAGCGGCTACGACTCCGAGAATTCGAGCATCGCTGCTCCAAGTCCGCCGCCCATGCACCTACCGAACCCCGTCTCATCGCCTCAGCATCGAGGAGTTGCCGACCCAAGGCTTTTCCAACAATCTTGCAATCGTAATGGACGGTGAGTAGAGTGGTAGCGAGCATGCGGTAGATATGATTAGGGGGACTGGGACCGGAAGTCAAGTCGCTCGACAACTAAATCTATGTACCGAAGACTGCGGATTTCCTTAGTGATCTTCGAGAAATAGAGAACTAGATACGTTTTATTGACTTCTTTAGAGACTTACTTTAAATAATACAGTTTTGAAAGTTCTATGGATTTTTATGTATTTGGCAAAGTAAGATTTTATTATTTGCCAAAGTAAAAATCCGAAACAGGATTGCTGGCATTGCGTATGGCATTGAAGTCATTGGCCGCAATTAATTTTAAATGACATTTTAAAAATACCATTAGTTTTCACGAAATGGAGCATTTTTTTCCTAAGAAATTATGTTCAACTTCTTCTATCACAATTGCCAAATTTTATAATTTGAATTAAAACTAACTTTTATAGAACCTTTTTAATATACAAGATAATAATCATTATAGATAAAAATCTTCATGCTTTTTCATACCTAATATTGCGAATATAGAATGGTCGTTTAACAGTTTTTTTTTTAATAACTTTGTACAAACCATATTTTCATAATTGCAATAAAAATTTGTAATTCGCATTTAATTAAAAAATATGTATAATCATGATATTTATTAGGAGACTAATTTATCCTATAGAAGTTATATTAAATTTATTTACAATGAAATTGCATTAGCATACAATATAATAACTTATTATTATTTTAAATTATTCCTAATTATATTTAATATATTTATTAAAGCTCTATGTTTCAGTCTTAATGTTTTAAGATGATTATTCAAATATTAATAACACCAATTTTCTTTAAATATAAATATTTTATTGCTAGTATGGATATTTTTTCATAATATTCCAAAATTCATCTCATAAAATCAAATCAAACATATATTAGATATTCATGCACAAAATATTTAAATGCTAAAAAATTGTACATACCATGTTCAAAAGAATGTTAGAGATTTAAACACATTTAATTATCGATTGTGAAGTTGTGATATTTAGAGTAAATTAGTTCTTGTGTGAATATCAATTGTCATTATTATTCAATAATAATGAAATAAAAAAATAAAAAACTTCGATTTCAAAAAATGTACAAGGTACTACATGCTTAAACCTTTTGAATTTTGTATGTTGCTAGTTGAGGTAATGTTGAATACCTAAAATAACAGTCTGTACTAGTTTGTTATATGATTTTTTAATAATTAAAATTCAGTGAAGTGTAAATAGAAATGGTAGTCGACTACAATTATCTCAATATCGTCTAATTTCAGACATTATCAAAACTTATCATAATATATTAAATATCAAAAGTGAAAGCGAATGCAACATTCACTTGCAATAAATGTCCTACGCCGAATCACGCATATAAAAATAAGTTAGTTCCGCGTTCACAAGTAATTATCTTGATTGACACTTAATTTGTCTTACCAATCATAATTTGATGAAAATTAACTTTCCAAATCCACCGCCTCTGCTCAATATTCTCTTTCAATATATCAATTCAATGTGAGTTAATTTAATGCTGCCAAATAACTTTTTCCACTATTATATCTAAGACTAACTTATAAATAAAAACAAATGGAAGAAAAAAATAAGACCAGACGTCTATATTCTGGAGCACGATTAAAACATGCCCAATGATGTAATTCTGCGAGGACTTACATAAAACTTTAATAAAGTCATCTGCATTCCGTGTTCTCGCGAACGAAGTGCCGGCAATGATCTCGATATCCCACGAAAGCTAGACAGCAAAAGTATTCCAGCTAATGGTAACTACAGAGAAGGATTCATAACGACTACGAGGCACTCTGCTTCTTTTCCCTTTTTATTTTGTTTAAGAGAAATTGTAAATTCTCGTTTCCAGTATATTTGCAATTGGGAGAGGAAAATATACGCGCAACGTCTATTGATACCAACCTCGTTGTTACGAAGCGTCGAGAGCCTTAGAGGCGTCGTTCGTCCCTTATCCTTTTCCAGTAGAATTAATTATGTAATATTTTCCAAAAAGAAAAAGGTCCTACTTTCTCAATGGGATAATGTTTTTTTGAAATTAATAGAAAGGAACAATTTGGTCGCTCGAGGATACGTAGATTAACTCATGAGTCTATATATTTTATTTTAGAATTGTTCAATTTACAACCTTTGTCACGGCTATGTATTTATATCTTGATTAAAGCGAAACTAAAACATATATCTGTTCTATTCGGCAACGAAAAATTGCTTCATTATCAAAACTCATTAAAATACGTGCAACGTAATTTAAATATTTAACATACGATAATTTTATATTGTTATAACAAATGTTTTTCAAAAATTGTTAATAATAAATAAATTTTTTACAGTAACTTCTATCCGCCAAATGGTTCAGGTCCACCAGATTGGGGCCATGTGGAACAGGTCCGTTCAGTTTATTATCTAATTAATAGTATCATTTTATGCCTTATATTATAATCAATATAATGGATAAACATTTTTGTTCTGTTTAGGTAAAAAAAAAGTTACCTTAACATTTTTAATATCTACATACTTATGAGTAATTGTAGTCTTTTACAAGCATCGGTCAATTTATAAAAGTCAGAAAATTATGAAAAATTTACATTTAAAACTATATTTGATTATTTGTTTAATTACTGAATATACATAATATATAAGGGCATAGCAAAAACTATATATAAATAGATATAATTTTAATGATATAATAATTAATTTTGTTATTAAGAAATTTTTGTATCAGTTCAATCGCGTGTAAAAATGCATTTGATATACGAGTTATTTGTCATCATTGGCAACATTTTTTATATATTTTAAAATAAGATTTAATGGTCACGAGATAGACTTATGTATAATGTAATTTTGTAAGCTGATTTGGAATATATCTTTCATCAAATAAAATTTTTATCCATTTTATCAATGATTATTCATCGCTCATTTTAAAAATAGCTGCTATCTACGCTAGCTCGAGTCGATCAAATTTATATATTAAATCAATTAAATTTATATTAAAGATTTCAAAAACTTATAATGTTCTCGATTATATTATTCCATTAAATAAATGATTTTAAAAAATTTTTCAATTTTATGTTATTATTTATAAATTTATTAATTACCAATACTTATTCTAATATCTAATGTAGTAAATTTAAATTGATATCATATAGCCAGCGATCCACGTAAAATTTGTGTGCATATATAACCAATATATTTCGATGTTTCCATGTACCAAGCCATGCTTACATTATAATTTACGAAGTACCTATACTTAGTAAGAACTTCACCAATATTTAAAAATCTATCGGTCATGAGAATGTACACATTAATAGCTCAATTGCATACGCATTTCACTCACCTCTACAACTGCATTTCTATATTCAACAATGCAACATTGCACAACCGACAATAATTGAAATTACGTTTCGATAACCTTCTTTCCTATAACCGACGCTCATCGACAGTCGCAAGAATGGACGCGTAAACCGAACAATACGACGGTTATACGAATAAGCCAGAGCCAACCCCAACAACAGCAACATCAGCAGCAACAACAGCAGCAACAGCAACACCATCAGCAGTTTCGGCGTGGACCACGCCAGCAAATCCGATCCAGTTCCGTGCTCTACGACGATGGCCATGAACTCGACGAAGAGCCACTCTACGATCCAGTGGCACCTAAAGACTTTGAATGCCATGACTTCGATGCTAATCCCCGAGAAGAGATAGATCGCAGAGCCGAGTATAGACGCGAGCACGGCATACGCGAGATCCAATACAACGAATCCACCACCGACGGCGTATTCGTGAAGGTGAGCCAATACTTCCAATTCTTTCTTGCAAACGATTTCTAAATATGCGCTATCCTCATCTCTAACCTCACTTACTTCAGTAGCTTAATTGTGTTTCTTAACAGTTGAGGTAATTGTACTTTTTCATTTTTATTAGACATGCAAGATTATAAACCGATGATGATATAAAATTTCGTTTAACTACTAATATAATAATTCGTAAATGTAATTATGAGAATTTTTAAACTCAAATAATGAATCCAAAACACCAAAATAAATGATGGAAAGTACCTATTTATTATCAATTACTTATACTACACAGTCTGATACTCTACGTTTCAGGCATTTTATTTTGTATTTATTGTTCACTACGAATGCACGCTGCGCGTTCTATCTAATTATAAAAATAAGTTTCAACCAAAGTAATAATCAAATGAATATTTTTTAAGTTATTATATAAATAATAAAAGTGTTATAAGTATAATATTTCGCCTACATTAAAAGATGCAAATAAAAAACAAAATTTAGATCTATGTGTATATATATATAAACGGTGAAATTAAAGATCTAACTAACATTGATAAAATATATACTTATATATTAGCAGTGCATAATTTGCATAAAAAAAATTAATTGTTAATGTCTCAATTTTCTTTCTTTTATTACATATTAAATAATCTTTTTACATATAATGTTCATATATAGCTTTGATGTTACTAAAGTAATTTTGTAAATTATTTAGTGTAAGATTGTTTCAATTATAAATTCAAAATTTATTGCTGTTCATATTTAGCTCACCATCGAATCTTTTCATTCTGTGAAATCGAAGGAAAAATAATTTTCTTTCATGAGACCACTGTACTAAAATCTGATATAAACATAAAATACTTTCATAGAGCATTAAAAAATATTTAAAAAATTCTGGTCCACATAAAAATTTTTATTCAAAATATTATTTCAAAAATAAAACTTCAACGGGCTGATTTACATATGAGATAAATTTTCTCTATAAATTATGCCTATAAAAAGCCTATGCATATCTATATTATAGCCTGATATATATATATATATATATACACAAATGCGTATACATCTGTGTAGAGATAAAACACTGAAAATGGTTCTCTAATCAATGCTTCAATTAAAACTTTTCTAAAGAAGAAAAGTCACTTTCACTTTCATCTCGCGATTTTAAGTATAACTAACGAGGTTACGTACGCTTTTCTTTTAGGTACAAGAGAGCGGACATGTCGACAACGGCATCAACAGCAACATCAACGACGGCATCAACGGCAGCATCAATGGTAGTATCAATCCCGGTAACGGCGGCACTGGTAACGTTATCCTGACCGCCCAAAGACAAGGTGAAAAGGAGAGGAAAACAGTGACGACCGTCGAAGTTCATCAGCCGTGTCCGCCGACACCCCCATCCATGCCCCCGCCTCTACACTATAAGTGGTCAACAGGTAATTTAAACGCTAGTTAGAAAGAATTTTACGGAAGATTTTCACGATTTAGTCCGTAATCGAATGTTTAATTATTCAGATTTTCGTTTATCAAAGGCTGTTCATTAGTCAATTTTTCTCCCTTATCATATCATTGCTTTATCAAGTACTGAGCACATTTAAAGTAGAGTAATTATTGAGTAAACCTCATAAATTAAAAAAATATATAAATATCATAAGTTTTTAATGAAAACGAATGAATTGGAATGAAATATATTGTAGCAATTAAAATATCGTTAATTACAATGACTTTACGAGCCTAAAACAATTGCTGTGAATACTGTACTTACTCTTAAGCAAGATTGAAAATATGAGCCACAAACCAATTAAAATTTTCTTGAACATCAGAAACGAAGCCAATGAACGCAATGGGAATGCAAATGGGCAGCACGATGTCAATGGGCAGCACTGGCTCAACGGAGACAGAGTCAAGCTTAGAGTCATCGTGCGGCGGCAAGGATACCGCCTCCACCTCCTCCTCGCTCTCAACCTCCTCGTGCGAGCCCGCAACTAGCGTTTCCTTCGCTGCGTCGATTGCTGCAGCGGCGGCCTGTGGAGGCGGCCCTAAGGAGAGGCAACAAAACCGCCCCAACAATACGGTACCGCCGCCACCACTCTCAAAGATACCGACTCCACCGCCCCCCATCGATCTCAGTACTGCCATTACTCAGGAACTACAAAGGCGAGCAAAGCAGGTAAATGACACTCTCGAATACGAAGTTTTTAGTATTAAACAACTATTGTTTGCTAAACGAGGTTTGCATACGCTAGGTTAAACTTCACGCGATTCATGTACTATCTTAAACTACTACTGTTTGAGTAATGATTCTGCACTTACCTCGAGGTAACTCCTATATTCACAACAAGTACTATCAGAAGAGGGACCCTTGGGTTTTAAATGGAATTAGCGTGATAATAGAGTTACGAAATGAATGAGAAATACAGTTACTTTTTTCATGTAAAATATACATAATAGTAAAAGGCTATTTATAGTTGAAAATTTGAAAAGTAAATATAAGAATAAGTTTCTTATATTTAAACTGAAGAATTTATAAACTTAATAAAAAATTTCAATTTTAGATCTAAAATTGTTAAATTTCAATAAAGCACAGAGCAATTCGTTTCAATAAATAAAAATATTTTCATGTAAAAAATTAGAGAATCAAATTAACTTTAAAATATACTCTCTTATGAAATTTTTATTTTTTTGTTTTTTGTCGCTAATTTTCGCTAACTCATCGCTTATTTTAATCATTATATTAAATCAAAGCTTATCAGTTTCGTTACATAATACTTTATCTATTAATTTTATAAATTTTACATAATACATATATATATATATGTATATATATATATATATATATATATATATATATATATATATATATAAGATATATAGTATCTATAATATAAAAATCTTAAAATTAATAATAAAAATTTTTATTGATACAATTATAACAAACAAATCAAATTTCAAGAGAATATGACTAAATAATTCATTTTATTAAAAAATAATCTAAATATCTGATGCAACTATTCACAATTGTCTAAATTTAATTTGTATAAAATAAATGTCAGTTAGGTTTTATTATGTAAATAATTAATGTAAATCAATTTTTTGTTATAATCAGTAAATTAGTAATGATCATTAATGCTTTTGCTTACTTCCATATTTTTAAATTATAAAAAACATTCACGCATACGTTGAATAAACATAGAGAGATTAAATTATGGATATAAAACACAAAAATTGATAAATTCAAATGCATAATCAATATTGTAATTGTCAGATTTTATAAGTCTTTATTAATAAATTGAACTATCTATCAATTATGAATAAATAATTGCATTGAGCTTGATATGATAATAAACTCCTTACAAAACTTCTCAATTTACAAAGAATGCATTTTCTTGAGAATAAAGGACTTTTAAAATTGACGTGTTTAAAGACTTAGATTCACGAGATAACATGTATTCAGCAGGCATTTTTTCACCGGTACTAGTTACTTCTCTCCTTAAAAGAAATTCATTTCATGTCGCGTAACACAGTAAAGACTGCTTCCTACCTTTAATCTCCATCTGAAATTCCCCTCTAAGCATTGCGGCATTGATTTATTAAAGCTGACAGTGTCACTTGCCGCTCTAGCTTTTGTCTCTTTTGGTTCTTCCGCAGAGAAGCATGAATAATGCAGCAGAACAGGATGGAGTACATGCTGAGAAGCTGGGAAGTGGTCAGGAGATCCGGAAACCACAGAATCCAGAAGCTCTCAGGGCTCAGGAACAAAAAGTAACGCACGATAAGGTCGGTGAACCTCCATACTACCATTAAGCGCTTCCGCCTTGACTATTAACCTGAGAGGTATTCTTCTTGCTGTTATGGAAATCGATATCGGGGAATTGTATCGAGCAAGAAGTTTGTAAATACATATTGTGTTAATGTGCATGTGTCGCGCGCGCTCGCGCACACATGCATGTGTGAATGTGAGATACTAGGGGTACAGCGGGGGAGGGGGGATGTGTAAAATCAATCGGAGACGTTCTGCTATTAATTTTCGGAATTACTCGAGTTCTATTAAAATTTTATATTTCATTTTAAGAGACATGGAATTGTAAATTACTTGAACTTTATTAATCTCTTCATTTAAAATGATTTTATTATTTCCATGCAAAACGTATCCATACAGTATATGTAATGAAACATAAATTGATAAATGTTCATAGTCCAATCAATAAAACATAATTGTTTTACATGAAAATCACTGATTGAAATTGAATAAAATTAGTTTATTCTATATTAATATAAATTAGAATAAATTAGTTTTAAACTTTTTTAAATTCCACGTGGAATTACAAAACTATATTAAATTATATTCACTATAATAAAATGAATAATAATCCGATTACCACACTTATTGAATTGTTAATCTTCAATTTTGTCGATAAAATTTTTATTTTTTTTATTACTCGAATTTTAAGAATTAAATGATTTAATACATTGCTATCGATTTAATTAATCTTTGCTTTACTATGCATAAATAGCTCTTCTATATCAGCAATATCTTACTGCGACTATTTTTTAATTCGAATGTATTTCGTCATCTAATAATAAAAATATTAATTGTTATCAAACGCATTTATGGTACAAAATTTTAAACAATCGTAACGTTTATAAAAAGCTAATAAACAAAAGGAATGAATTTTAATTTCATAACATTCAATTTAATGAATTGAATTTCTTCATTATGACGTGCATAAAATAAGAAAATACTATTGAATGAAATAATACTGAATTTTTTATATTTTTTATATTTTACATCTTATTAATACCTATAGAAATTAAATTTATATTTTGAAAGAAATTATGTAAATGATAAATGAAATAAAATAAATATTTATAAGATATTAAACTATTTATTATAAATACGAATGAGTAATTAGACTCAACGAGAAAAATAAAATAGTCACGGTCCCTCAAGTGCGAGTCCCAAGGAAAGCAAAGTGCACATCCCGTGTACATTCAGTAACAAATGCCATTCCCTCTCGCTTTTTAATTTATCTCGTGTGTAAAGGTTTTTGCTTTCTCGGAGTTCCCTCCTCTCTTAATAAGTCAATGGCACCCAGGTGCAGCCCGTGTGAAATCTTATTCTGCTTTCATTTTGCGCAGCTCATGGAGGAGTTCAAACGGGCCCATCAGAGGATGTTCAGCAACGCCCAGCAGCGCAACCAAACGACGGAACAGAACGCCGAGAAGGTAAGAGTGAGATGAGTTTGTCTCTTTAATTTCATACTTACACCGCGGTTGTTTGTACAGTATTTGTTATATATGCTTGCTTTTATGGATATTGAACAAGCAAACAAAAGATTACATATATAAGGCATCAATAATCTATTCTGATCTTTTCTTTTACCACCAATGGCGAAACTGAACTATTTGATCATGTTTTGATGATTAATCAATATCTCACAATATTTCAATTATTGTAAATAAGTTCTCTCATAATCGAACGCAATCACGCTTTAATGAAATTAATCGACAAGTATCGGTATTGAGAATACGAAGGTTTGGTTATATCGGTTCTAATCATTTTAGCTCATCTCATCATTGTTTTAAGAACACTTTATATTCGTATGATATATAGCGATCTACTAGCTAGTCGCACACGTAATATTATACACGTTAATATAGTAAAATAATAATTAAAGTGAAACTGTGAAAGATAATTTTCTATTTAGCCGATAACAAATAGATCTTTTATAGATTTAAATAGATCTTAAATAATATAAAATATACAAATATTAAATGACTAATTGAGGCGATCGAAACTATCAAATTTTCTTACAAATCTGCAACATGTATTTTGTTAATATTCCTTTAACTTTTGCTTTAACAATAATTAACATTATAATTTCACCTATTAATTTAACAATTATACAATTTAGCAGTCGCGGTATCTTTTGACCCCCTTGAATAGGTCGACGAAAGATTGGCGAAAAATTAAAGTTAATTGACAACAAAGGTAAGATTATGGACCTCATTATTCATAACGACTTCTTCATCATTTTCACCGCGTTTTTCTCCGTCAATGATGCCGAGGTGACTTACACCGTGACATAATTTCGTACATCATACACATAGAAAGAAAGAATGAACCATTACCATAATAAAAGATAACATAAGTTACCACAGGTAGCGTGAAATATGAAAAAAGATGGTATTTTTACAATAGAAAATGAAATTTTTGAGCCATATACTTGATAAGCTTTTGATATATCAACAATTACGATGATCACTCTATTTTTCTGTTTCCATGCTTCTTTCACTGCTTCCCACGACTCCCGTAATTAGTCTAGGACCATGTCTATGGCTAGTCAAGCTGACGCATAATCAAAATTTAACAAAAAATTGTGGATTGTACTCTTTATTGTACTCCCTGAAAATTTCGTCACATTTAAGCTTTTATCTACATACTTCATATATTTGATGAAAATATATAAGATTTGTACAAAATTTATCAAAAATTTGATAAAAGAAATAATAAGTAATTATCAATTTTAATCTATTAATTTAATGTGTATATAAATCTTTATAAAGGCAAAAAAAATTTAAAGCATATTTCTTATTATTTAATATTTAAATTCTTGTATCGCTATATGCTTATTTGCCGATATTTTATAATAAAATAGTAAAGAGTAAAAAATAAATAACAACTTGTTAAAGTCTTGCTTTTGCACACTCACATCTTATTGTCACATTCAATTTTATAGTGTAATATAATTTATTACAACTAATATTGCATTTAAATAAATTATAAGAATAAATTATTTTTTATTTTAAGCTAATATGAATTGTTCATAAAATTGTGCAGAGTTGTGAAAATTCTACAGACTAAAAAGTATACTTCAGTATGTATATATTGATATGAATATTATGTAAATAATAATTCTTATAAATGCTTAATTTCTCAAATTATTACAATATAATTAAATAATCGTTATGTTTATTCAATTAAAAAATATTAAGTTTAGTAATAGTACTTCTTTATTTACGTTACAGACGTTTATAAATTAGCTACTATTTTTGTTAAAAAACGTCGATTAATAGCAGATTATCGTGTAATATTATATTTCGACTGAAAATTTTTATCGATTAATAATTGATTATCGATTGTAAATTTTTATGTTGAAATAATAATTATCATTTGTTTTATTTAATTTTTAATTAATATTATTTACAGTACATACTTAAATCTCTATGCATTAAAAAATATTTTATAATTTCTTAAACGTGTAAGATTTGACTTAAACAAAAAGAAACATCAATTACTCTTTTTAATATAATATTTATTCTACAATTTTGAGATGGTAATTAATAATAAATAAATTCATTTAAGATAATAATACTGTTTAGTATAACTGGAAGTTATAAACTGATGTGATGATCAACAACTTTTGTATATTACCTGTATTGTTTATCTTAGAGAAAAACTGTAAGAATTATTCGCTAAAGATTAATCGTTCGGACTTGATTTACTAAATAAACAGTGCAATCAATAATAAGTTTTTATTTTTTCATTAAGAGACCAAGTAAGTAGTTTGCCTTTATTTATTAAATAGTTAAAAATCAAAGATTACAGTCATTAATCGAACGATATACTTTACTATTTGACTTTTTACCATTTAACGATTTTAAATTTAATTCTTTTAAAACTGAAGAGTGATAAATTTTTAGAAGTAAGAAAAAACAATCCGTATTATTTACAATTAATTCACAATGTAAATTGACTATTGTACAATAGAAAGCTACTAATTGATAGAATAAACTTTCTACTTTCCTGATTACAAGGGTGTAACAGCATATCAATCGACTTAGCTGTAAACCTTTTCACATTCATCTTTATATTTTCAAATAATCTTATAACGCAATTAGTCCACATTTTCTCTCGCGACTCATACCGGCATTTTCGAATTCTCCCTCCAGCTCATTTTGCGTTCAAGCACGCCTCATAAAAACCACGCAAGAATACTTTTCCATAAGATCTGACTGCACCCGATCAGCATTATCTCTTCAATCTTCACAAGTCCCAGCATCCCCTAGCCAGTGAGCGTGTTTCTTCCAAAAATTCAAGTCGTGTTTCTCATGACAGCCCGAGGCTATAAAGAGCAACCTATCGCGCATTTCAGACAGAGGCAAAGCGCGCAAATTCCATGAAGCTCGGGCCACCAACTCCTAGCTCTAAAGCCACCAAGAGAAGCAGCAACGACGAGGCCGTCGAGATGCAGAGCATCGAGTCCTTCAAACTGAAGGAATCCCCGTCGATTCAAATGCCGAAACCCCCGCCCACCTACTTCCCATCCTCAAGTCCCGGGAAGCTAGGAAGCGAGTGCGCTCGACAAAATAGCGTGGCTAAGCTGCGCTCGAGCGCCACCTACGTTAGCCATGGCACCGGCAAGGCCGTTAGCAAAGTCGCCATTAGGATCGGCACTTATGAGGGCGATGTGAAGCAACCCTCGAGGTTCGGCTTCCTTAGTCACACGGCCGAGTGTAAGCCGAACTCCGAAGGGGCTTCGCCCGTCGCGTCGCGACTTCAGAACGAACTCGTCGCTACGCTCCAGAGGTCGAATTTGAGAAAAAATATCGAGGGGGTGAGTTGCTTTCTTCCCGGTCGGATCCACGCTAAATCCCATCGGGTGGAATTTACATTGTTGGAACTGAGTCTTGGTTCCACTCTGAACGTTTTTCGCTTTTGCCAGCAACTATAACAATTGGCGAATGTTCTTATGTTTGAAATGCGATTTTTTAGATTAACTTAATATACGATTATTACGTGGCGAATTATATTGCGAGCTTGGGTCTTACGTTGGAACTTGCACGTAGGTTTTCGATAAAAATGCAGTGGCATGTAAACTATAACAACAGTCGTCCTACTAAACGGGTATTAGATTTAGAAAAAAATTTAAAAAATTTGGAACAAAAATTTCATTCAAAGGGATTTAGCGTGGCGAACGATGACGCGTTGTGCTCTTTTATTTTATTTATTTTCTTACCTTTTTCCTTACTTGCACTCTATTATTATTCTTTTAGCGATTATTCATAGGATTTGTAAGAAAATAGACTCCGTATAAATTATATACTGATAATAAACAGTCTAGCAGGTATGTAATGTATCTAAAGTTAAGTAGTTATGAATAAATAGTTGCTGAATGTATGATAAATTTAAATAATTTAAACGTAAAAATTATATTAAAGCTGTATTATAAAACAATGGTAAAACAAGAGACTCAATGAGTAGAATATAATTCGTGCATTTTATCATGTAATACTTATTCACATTTGTTGAATATCTATGAATGTTCATTTTGTACTTTAGAGCGCTTAACTACATTTCCTATGGAAACAGTCCTACAAAGAAAGTAGCTTTCAACTGCTAAATAAATTCAAAGCTCCGAATGAATATGAAAACTATGATGACACAATTTGGAAATTAAAAAAATTATCTATTTAGTTGTGCACCGATTGATATAAGATTCTTTTTTACTCCTATATTAAGAAAATCGGAAATTTTTCAATTATCCAATTATAATAGAATAATAGGATTAAATTATATGAAATAAAATTCCTCATATAGCGTTTAAAAGACTTCTGTATTATAAAAATTAATTATAACTTTGAGTAAGTTCGATTAGTGTATAAGTGAGGTAAAAAAAGTAAATTTCTATAAGTGTTACTACGAATATTATAAAATAATTCATATTTTCATATATCTAAAAATGTGAATAATTTTAAATATATATATATATATATATATACATGATAGATAAATAAACATCAAATAATAAATTAAAAAACGAAACATTTTTAAGAATAGATTTGGAAACCTTTTTTCAAATACATTAATTTTTATCTCTAATTTAAGAATACGATACTATATTTATACATCGTTTATTAGTTTTAAAGATCAATAAATTATATTGATTATGTAAAAATCCTATTGACAATAAATGGTAAAAAACTTTGATAGCAGTGTACAATTGATTAATTCTATATTCTAATTTTAGATACTAATGTTAATCTATATATTTTTAACTGCATTTTGAAAGACAGAACCGCACGAAAGATGTTTACAATTCTAAATATGTATTTTCAATATTTCAAATTCCACATGAAAAAGAAGTAATTAAATTGGTTTCGGTTATGAAATATCTAAATACGATATAATGAAAAATTATAACGTTTTTTCGATTTTAATATTTGCTCATCTCAATTATATGCAGAAAAATATTAAATACAGGTTTACGGCTACAGATTTAAATGTCTTTAAAATAATATGCACGATTTATATCTATTCTACGTTTTAGTATTTAAAAAATTTTCGAACTTTGGTAGTTAAAGAAATAACTAGTGGTATTCAATAGTACGTAAATTCATTCCATATATATCTTATGTTTTTAGAAATTGCAAAATACCATTGATTAATGTAGACTTGTACAATTATACTGGATAAGTTAAACAAAATTTTAAAACACTTGTATGGTTTGAAGTAATGTAAGTTTGAGTAAGTAGTATTTTCTCTTACGAACACCACTCATTTTTTATCTGTAAACAGCCCATATATCTTTTCAAATTCTAAAAAAAAAAAAAAAAAAAAAAAAAAAAAAAAAAAATACGCGCCTATAAACTTCTGCACGATACGTATTTTTTAATGAAAAAAAAATTAATTGTATATCTCTTCCATTCTATACATGTAGACTTGGATTTACGTATAAATGCCAATATATGCCGTATAAATCGATGATAATGTACTTAAAATATAATTAAGATCAGAATTCAAATCTAACGAAATAGAGTACACTGTTAAAATCGACAAGAAACATGTATAATATAATAAATACCAGCTCTAAAACATTAATTCTGTTTAAAGGAAAATGAGATGTCGAATGCACCAGGTGGAGCTGCGAAAGCGAACCAAGATAACGACCAAGTCGATGCTGTCATGCAGAATAACATCGATAAATTAGCCACTAGCCTCAACAATAAAGTCACAATTCGAGTAAATCCTGAAGCTAGCAATTGATAAATTGCTCCCGACTCTTATGGAGGCCCTTCAGTATTCTTTTGTTCGTCCAGCTTGAGAGCCGCTTTATTTCGCATTCTTTTTACACGACACATGAACGAGCAAATGGCTTTATAAAGTTTAATCGTTATTAAGATAATTAAATAAGTTATAGATTGCAAAGCAATGAGATGCTTTACGTTCCTTATGATTATGAAAGTTTTATCAAACAGACTCGATTGTTACAGTATTGACGTAAATATTATTATAAAAGTAAACTATAAATATAATAGACTTGTAATATATCTATAAGTAATCTATAATGATTGGTGAAGAAATTAAAAAGTTATCATTTATAGAATTTGAATTCATCGTGCGTTGTGAAAATGATGAGAGATTTATACGGCTTCATTTTCTTAATACGACATGCCTCGTTATGACTTAAGACTATGATGCGAAAGGTTACCGACTGAGCGCCATTCTTCCAAATATAATTTGCAATAACAGTTTCGTTTCATTAAGAATATACGTTTTAATTTCATTAAATTAATTTAAAATGAAAAACAAATTAATCACAATGTGCATAAAGAACTCGAGTTAATTGAATATATTTTACTCAGTCAGTAATGGAATGAAATGTTTGAAATCACAAAAATAGTGTCCAGTCAAGTGATAAATTAATTAAGAAAAAAGTGTGAACAATTATTAATTTTTCCTATGTTCGATATTTAAGGTCTTCTTCCTCTATATAACCAAGAATCATTTTCCAATTACTTGGTAATAATTAAAGTGCTTCCTTAAAATTGTAAGGATTTTTAAGGAATAAGGAATTTTAAATAAAATTTAAAATATAGTTTGAAACGAGACGCATGAATGGAAAAACGAATGAAGGAATGTAGTTTTTACGTTTGATACAGAATATTGTACATTTTTCTTTTTAATATACATAATCTTTTTGGTATAGTATTTGACGAGAAAAAGCCAGATGCGTATCGAGATTTTTAAAAGGCTCTTTTTATATATTACATACTTATCCCATGTATTATATATACTTTATACATACGCGAGTTTTTATATTATTTATTAACGTATCTCCGACTTTTATAAATATATGAGGAATTATTATCAACCGATAAATCGGATATGCTTCCGATACAAAATGACACAGTTTGTTCATGCATTAAGAAGTTATGTAAATGTAGAATTTGTAATCGCAGATAACGGATTTATTGAAGCACATTCACAAACATTATTGTAACCCTGTACACAGGATTCAACTCTGATTCTATTGTTGCAGACAGAAATAAAACCATCAAGCACAAATAATTATGAATATACTTTTTATCTCCTTTTTCTATTCGTAATTTGTAAATATTGCAAGAATATATCAATATCTAATGAGCTTCAGCATAACTTTTATAAATTACTAAATATATATTTATTATATTACAAAAAATTTGTATTATATATATTTTCATTAACGGCAAATAGTACAAATATGAAAATGAAATATAAATAGCAATTATTATTTATGTTATTCAAAAAATGTATTCGTTTGATACTGATATTATTAAAAAAAATATATAAACACATTAAATTTAAAATATCATTTTCTCTAAATTAATGTTATAATTCATTGAGTGCTTTTTAATTAATTGTGCGTTTTGTTTGTAATTCTTCTTTAAATTGTAATAACTGCTAATAATTTAAAATTAAATTCCATGAAATTAAAATGTTATTCACTTTGAAACAAATATTGTAAAACTTAATTAATTAAATTTGATATCTATCTGTTTAATTTTAAAAATAAGTCATTTTTCAAGAACTATTTATTTTATCCAATTATTAAGCGTTATCACAAAAATATCAAATTCATTTTATACGAGCATGATAAATCGATAAAAATTTATCGGTAGCGTATAGCATTGGTTTATCAATTATGTAGTAGTTAATCTAATTAAGATGTTATATTCATTGATTAATGAATTATTTCTAAAATTCTGCTCATATAGAGTTACTAAATCTAATTTTCTAATAAGCAATAAACAAATTGCATCATAACCGAATTAATTCTAAAAAGTATTTACATGTTTAAAATCTTTATCAAATTACTGGTTAAACTATTTTTATAAATATTTAGTAGAATTTTACATATGGTATGAGACTAAAATACAATTAAAACTATTCGATAAAATAATATAAGCAATTTATAAAAAATAAAACTATATTTTTTTATATTAAATAATATGAAAATGCTAAAAATAAGTTAGTATCGTGAATTAAAATATATGGTTGATACATTAAAATACAAAATATATTTCAGAACTTTTTTCATAATTTATATTCATACTACTACAATCATGTACCAATATCTGCAGAAATATTTTAAATAGTTATATAAAATTGTTGAATTATATACATTAGTCGTTAAATTTTAAAAGAGATACTTTGTAAATAATTCATACATGAAACTCGATATAAAATGTAACTAAAACGCAGACTAAATAATGATATTTAATACAACCTTAAACAGTGTTAAATATAAATATCCATTACAATGAAAAAAATTTTCAAAATTTTTCCAATTCAGATTTTTATGTATTTATGAACTTTACTATAAAAATGTTACGTGCATACATACATATAAACATATATACACAAATTAATCTTTCTACAAACACATATCTTACATTAAACTTTTGTGAAATTGATAAGAGCAAGAAATGTTATAATACAGTATATCAAGGTATTGAAATTGTAGAATCAATTTCAAAATTTAGTATCGTTAAAATTAATCTAATTTCAATTTCAATTTTATTTTATTAAAGTTATAACCATTTAGGTGAAAATTAAAAAATTCTCAACTCAACTCTACGTTTTAAAATAATTTTTATTATTCTTTATTAAATGATTTAATAATTTTTTATTTTATACTTGTAATAAATAATATATTTTTAATTGAATAATAAATAAATAAATTAGCGTAATGGATTTAGAATATTTAATTCTAGTGTTAATTTTACATTGTAATTATATTAAATTTTATAAATGTACAATTGAATCATTAAACGTATAAGAAATATACTTTATATTAAACTAGAATTTAAGAATATTATTTTTCTATAAAAATTATGTTGTTGACTTGTAGAATTTTATTCATTTTTGAGCGTATTAATTTTGTATAAAAAACAAATTGATTACATATTGCTCTACAACGTCAATTCACGTTATCAAGTAAGTATAAATTTATATTTTTAATTATGACTATAATATGCATAATAATGTAAAATTCTATTAACATTATTATTATAATGATTATTAAAATTTATTATTAAAATTTGCGACATTGCATATTACTGTAATTATTTAATTCATTACTGTAACATATTAATTCATTTCATTACGCAGTAGTATAAAAGTTTTTTTAATTCTACATTAAAAAATGTAATTGTAATATGTTTTTGAAATATACTAATTTCATTTATTTAATATATTTACTGTAAATACGTGTAAAAATATTATTGCAAATAAAGTAATCAATTATTATTAAGTAGATAACGATATGTTACGTGTTATGGATGATGCATTAATATGAAATTTCACCGCAATAGAAAATAATATTTCTTGGACTTTTCCAATTTAACGTTAAGAATAAAATTATATATATGAGAGTAAAAATTTTAACATTAACTCAATTGCTTTCATATTATATATGAAGAATATGTATTATCGAACGATTTGTTTAATATTATTAATAATAGAGTATATAATATTTAGTTTGTTGTTATTTATATATTATATTATATTTAATATCATAAATCTTGAAATTGTGGTTTATTATTAAATTGTTGTAGTTTGCTTTTTTTCAATAATATACTGTTATCAAAAGGAATAGAACATTATGATTATTTTTTTTAAATTCAGCACTTTTTCTTATATATTTGTGTTTTTCATTAACATATGAAAACTTAAAAGTCTATATTCGTGACAATGTTTATACCCCTTTCAAACGCTAGATGATATCAATTTAAATTACTATAGCGCACGGTATAATCTACCAGTCAAGGCTGTCATTTCTATTATCTTTTATAATATGGTCACCTGCATTGCAGAAAGGTTAAACAAGCAGAAAAAAAGGAAAAGTTTTCTCCCGATTATCATACCCTGACAGTGTTATCTATGTCGATTATATACACCTGCCGCCTCGTCGTGCTTCTTATGTTCACAGCCAATTGTAAGACATTGATGCAATAACATGAAAATAGTGACGATAGTCACGCGCTGCTGCATCATTAACCAGCAGTACATATAAATCACGCGTATTTGATTAATTTGCTATATTATTTGTTGTTTATTTATCTACCATCGACTTTATTTGGTTAATATGTAATTTTTATTCTTGGAAAGCATTCGTATGCGCTCCATTTTTCTCGTATGGTGCACTCGATCTTTAATCGATAAGAAATCGCATGTTTTATCTACATTTGATTATCAGTGATATAACACGTCAAGATTTATTTTGCGTGCGGACATGTATAGACGAGTGGTAGGTAGTGCACGTGTCTTCTTAGTTTCATTAAGTAGGTCTCAAGAAATAGTAGATCTAAAATTTATTATTGGTATAATAAAACTTATTTAGACTAGTATAATTGAATTATCAATAATTTTTTTTGTTTAAGTAAAAATTCTTTCCATGTAATTTCAATGCAGAATATATTCAATTTAGAGCAGTGAAGTATATTCATATATCATTTTTATAAAATTTTATATAGTGAAGTGAATATGAATAAATGCAATGCTACATTTGAAAATTGTAAAATTGATATTGTAAGTTGTATGAATTTCCAAATTTGTAATTATTACGATTCATATACTTCATACATATAAAATATTTCATATATGAAATGCTTTATATACAAATACTTTATATGTAATATGTTTTAAATATAAAAAATAAAAAGTACTTTTTAAAAACAGCGGAAAAATAAAATACACTTGAAAATTTAATGAGAAAATTTGATGTAATTAACACTACTAAATTTCAATCATAAATATACGCATATATTTAAAAATATTTTATTAATATCCTGTATGTTTTCGTAGTTTAAAAAAACTCAAATTGTATTCTATCGACGTTATCGATATTTCTTTGAATATTTTGTATGCCTTATCTAATTTCTAAGAAAAATTAGTTGCACTTCCATTAAATATTAAATACCAAACTCTCTGGTTTAACAATTTTTCTCAATAATTTGCTATTTCGTACAAATGAATAATCGCAATAAATTTTTAATGCCCTTCATTGACAAATCTAATAATTATCTTTCATGATTGTTTTTTATTATCACTTGCCATTCATAATTTATGTATTACTGATAATTTGCATTAATTTGTCTTTATAGAATATTAAAATCACAAAAAGAATATTGTCGAATACAGG